AGACATACATGCATACAGACAGACATACATACATACATACAGACATACACATACATACAGACAGACAGACATACATAGACATACAGACAGACATACATACATAGACATACATGCATGCATGCATACAGACATACATACAGATAGACATGCAGACAGACATACACATACATACAGACATACATACAGACAGACATACATACATACACATAGACATACACATACATACATACATACATACAGACATAGACATACATGCATACAGACACACACACACAGCTCATTTTCCAGCCAGCTTCCTGTCTCTTACCTTTTCTTTGCAGGAGGGCGGCTGGGGATGATGGGAGTCGGCGTGGCTCCCTCTTCACTGGCGCGCACGCTCCTCCCGCGCGGAGTGAGCTGGGAGGAAGTATCCACTTCCTCCCAGCAGCACTTGGGGCCCGGTCAGACTAAACCACGGCCACAGCGCAGACCGGGCCCCTGAAGGAGGGGGCCACCGGGCCCGTATCAACCATTATGGTTGTCACCCCTTGATGGCGGCCCTGGATGAAGGTACTGGCAAATATGCACTTCTAGGATATCCCTGACATTTTTCAAAATCTAAGGCAAGATCATGAAGTGGACCATTTTGCAGATCTTTCGTCTGAACTAACTGTGTCCCCATTCCACAGCCAATGGACTACAGGCATAAGTTGGCCGGATTTACATCATAAGTGCCTGTAGACACAGAATTCTCAAACGTCTCACCAATCCCCCTGTGCCCCACTTCCAAAATAGTTTTATAAAAAAATGACCGCTTTAAATATGATAAAAAAATTTGTATATACGCACATATAGCGTCAGTGTGCATGTATTTCTGTGTGTGTGTATTTATGTAGAGTGTGTGCAGTAGTGTGTATTTGTAACAGCATGGGTAGCAGCATGTGTGTACAGTCTGAATAGCTGGGCTGTGTGCGAGTACAGTGTAAGTAGTTTGGCTGTGTGTGAGTTCAGTGTGAATTGTTGGGCTGTGTGTGTGTACAGTCTGACTAGCTGGGCTGTGTGTGTGCACAGTGTGGATAATAGCTGGGCTGTGTGTTTATAGTTTGAGTATCTGTTCTGTGTGTGTATAGTGTGAGTAGCTGGGCAATGTGTTTACAGTGTGGATAGCTGGGCAGTGTGTATACAGTTTGGATAGCTGGACTGAATGTGTACAGTGTGGATAGCTGCGCTGTGTGTGTGTGTACAGTGTGAATAGCTGGCCTGTGTGTGTGTGCGTACAGTGTGGATAGCTGGGCTGTGTGTGTGTGCAGTGTGGATAGCTGGGCGGTGTGTGTGCAGTGTGGATAGCTGGGCTGTGTGTGTACAGTGTGGATAGCTGGGCTGTGTGTGTGTGTGTGTGTGCGTACAGTGTGGATAGCTGGGCTGTGTGTGTGCAGTGTGGATAGCTGGGCGGTGTGTGTGCAGTGTGGATAGCTGGGCTATGTGTGTGTACAGTGTGGATAGCTGGGCGGTGTGTGTGCTGTGTGGATAGCTGGGCGGTGTGTGTGCAGTGTGGATAGCTGGGCTGTGTGTGTGCAGTGTGGATAGCTGGGCTGTGTGTGTGCAGTGTGGATAGCTGGGCTGTGTGTGTGCAGTGTGGATAGCTGGGCGGTGTGTGTGTACAGTGTGGATAGCTAGGCTGTGTGTGTACAGTGTGGATAGCTGGGCTGTCGTGTGTACAGTGTGGATAGCTGGGCTGTGTGTGTGTGTGTGTGCAGTGTGGATAGCTGGGCTGTGTGTGTGTGTGTGTGTACAGTGTGTACAGTGTGGATAGCTGGGCTGTGTGTGTACAGTGTGGATAGCTGGGCTGTGTGTGTACAGTGTGGAAAGCTGGGCTGTGTGTGTACAGTGTGGAAAGCTGGGCTGTGTGTGTGCAGTGTGGAGAGCTGGGCGGTGTGTGTGCAGTGTGGATAGCTGGGCTATATGTGTGTACAGTGTGGCTAGCTGGGCGGTGTGTGTGTAGTGTGGATAGCTGGGCGGTGTGTGTACAGTGTGGATAGCTGGGCTGTGTGTGTACAGTGTGGATAGCTGGGCTGTGTGTGTCCAGTGTGGATAGCTGGGCTGTGTGTGTCCAGTGTGGATAGCTGGGCGGTGTGTGTACAGTGTGGATAGCTGGGCTGTGTGTGTACAGTGTGGAAAGCTGGGCTGTGTGTGTGCAGTGTGGAAAGCTGGGCGGTGTGTGTGCAGTGTGGAAAGCTGGGCGGTGTGTGTACAGTGTGGATAGCTGGGCTGTGTGTGTGCAGTGTGGATAGCTGGGCGGTGTGTGTGCAGTGTGGATAGCTGGGCTATGTGTGTGTACAGTGTGGATAGCTGGTCGGTGTGTGTGCTGTGTGGATAGCTGGGCGGTGTGTGTGCAGTGTGGATAGCTGGGCTATGTGTGTGTACAGTGTGGCTAGCTGGGCGGTGTGTGTACAGTGTGGATAGCTGGGCGGTGTGTGTACAGTGTGGATAGCTGGGCTATGTGTGTGTACAGTGTGGATAGCTGGGCGGTGTGTGTGCAGTGTGGATAGTTGGGCTGTGTGTGTGCTGTGTGTGTGCTGTGTGGATAGCTGGGCTGTGACGCTGTGTGTGTGCAGTGTGGATAGCTGGGCGGTGTGTGTACAGTGTGGATAGCTGGGCTGTGTGTGTGCAGTGTGGAAAGCTGGGCTGTGTGTGTGCAGTGTGGATAGCTGGGCGGTGTGTGTACAGTGTGGATAGCTGGGCTGTGTGTGTGCAGTGTGGATAGCTGGGCGGTGTGTGTGCAGTGTGGATAGCTGGGCGGTGTGTGTACAGTGTGGATAGCTGGGCTGTGTGTGTGCAGTGTGGAAAGCTGGGCTGTGTGTGTACAGTGTGGATAGCTGGGCTATGTGTGTGTACAGTGTGGATAGCTGGGCGGTGTGTGTGCAGTGTGGATAGTTGGGCTGTGTGTGTGCTGTGTGTGTGCTGTGTGGATAGCTGGGCTGTGACGCTGTGTGTGTGCAGTGTGGATAGCTGGGCGGTGTGTGTACAGTGTGGATAGCTGGGCTGTGTGTGTGCAGTGTGGAAAGCTGGGCTGTGTGTGTGCAGTGTGGATAGCTGTGATGTGTCTATCTGAATACAGGTCTTTCTCCTCTCCTAGCCAGACCTCCAGCTCTTGCTGGAACCAGCTCACACCAGGATCTCTTATGTCATGGGTCCTCAAACTCCGCCCCCAACATCTGGGGGTTCAGAGTTTGAATACCCATGTCTTATGTGGTGTTCTCAGCAAAGAGAAGAGGCGGGGCCTAGGGTGGGAAGTGACATCACTTTTAGGCATTATGAAGCTAAGCAGCAGCCTGGCAGAGACAGGGTCTACAAGGTATGTGCAATGTAAATATTTTCTATAGCCCCAATCTCTTCCGGCACCCGCTACAGCACCTATGACCCCCTGCATCCACCTCAGCCTCCACACCCCCATACACACAGCTCAGCCCCCATGCACCCTGCACCCACCACAGCCCCTGTGCCTTCCTGCACCCATCTCCCCACTATGACCCAGATGCCCAGTCTCTATCCAAAACACAGATACAAAAGCCCTACCCACAAACACTGTAACACAACAAGCCCTCTCCACTGACATACTACACTGCAAACAGCTCCATCCATACACTCAAACCCACAAGGACCAGCACTGTATGCATAAAACCCCCAAATGCAATACTACATGCAGCCTCCTTACAAACACACACGTAATTATTACCCTGTAGGTAAAGCAAGAAAAACTATTAATGAATTAATTCTATACAGGAAAAACAAGCATACCACACACAAAACACCACAAGTCGCCTCTAAACAAATATGTTAGGCTATTTATATGGTTGCACATGTGAGTAATTAAATTTGATTTGTTTCTTTATTTTAATGGGTGGGCATGCCAGCAAAAGTTATTCACAGTTTTGGTTGGATTAACCCCCTTAGAAGTTCATCTGGCCCTGTTTTGGGGCCCAGCAGGTGTAGGAATAATGATTGTGCGGTTCTCGCACAGCCATTCTGGGCAGCGTGCATTTATCTGTGTGAGAGCCGCAAAAGGAAGGGGAGAAGAGTAGTAGTAGCCAAAACCTCTTGCACCAGGAGGGGGGGCATTTACTAAAGTTAACCTGCGTAATAGCTCCTGCTAATAGATCGTGCTGTCCCTGCAGCTGTGATCGCTCAGGCTGTCAGAGCGGGCACATGTGCTGCAGGGACTTCTGATCCGCCTCCCTGCGATTCTGGGGTCAGTGTGAAGTGCAGGGAGACAGATCAGCAGTGATCTGATTCTTCCTGCAAAATAAAAGTAATTAAAGTAAAATCCCATCTCCCTTTAACCATTTAAAATAAAAATTTACCCCTTCCCTGCCAATTGATCACTGACTACAGTGATCAATTGGCAGGGACTACATTTTACTGTGATCTGATGGGGTTTTTTTAACCCTCAGGGGTTAAATTTACTTTATTAATTAATTTAACTATTTTTAAATGATATTTAGTAAGCTGGGGCGGGTGGAAATTAGTGGGAAATGAGGGAATTTGGTGTTAGGCCAACTAGGGGTTAACGTTAAAAAAAAGTTTTTTAAAAAGCTTTTAAAAACGTTTTAAAGGAGAACTATAGGGTCAGGAACACAAACATGCATTCCTGACCCTATAGGGCAGGGGTAGGCAACCTTTTAGCAGCAATGTGCCAATCCTATTTTTTTAAATTGAGGTGTGTATGTTGCCGTATTCTGATTGTGTTATTTACACTGCAGTTGCTTTGTATCGTATTTGTGCGTATATGAGCAATTATATTGTACATATTCATGAGTAGTTTGTGGTGTTGTGTATGATACCTATGAATGTGGGCTGTGTATAGGGGCTGCTTGTAGAATTGTGTGTGTGCATGGATATGTCACATTGTGTGTTTGGTGGTGTGTATGTCTGTTTGGGGTGTTGCATGTGAGAGGCTGCATGTGGGGTTGTGTGCATGTATGTAGATTGTTAGCGGGTTACCTTTGTGCGGATTGTGTGTATGTTTGCTTGTGGGCTCTTTGTATTATTTGTATGAAGGGAGGGTTATTCTGCATTTCTGTGTATATCTAGCAGTGTGGGTGGCTTCCCTGGGTTCCAGTGGGGACCAGGCTGGTCAGGTGCAGGTCAAGGACAGGAGCTGCAACAGCAGCTGTGGGCTGCTCTACTCCAATGTGGATTCCCATTCACAAGTGCTGGAAGGAAGTGATCTGAGATCACTTCCTCTATGTGCTGCAATGCATACATTGAGAATTGTCCTTCACCACCTTTTCATATTAGCAGATATCTGAAGTTTCACTGGGACTCCAGATAGGCCAGAGCCTGTTTGGCTCAACAGCCTCGAGTGCCGTGCATGGCACACGTGCCTCAGGTTGCCTACCCCTGCTATAGGGTTAAAACCACCATCTAGCCACCCTGGTCCCCTCATGCCTCCCTAAAAAATGTAAAATCTTACTTGTATTCAAGTCTGGAGCTGTTAGCTCTGGCTCTGTTTCCTTTAGACCTGCCCACTGCAGGAAGTGGTAGCCTGATCCAATCACAATGCTGACGGTAATGATTCTACTAACCAGAACAAATTCAATAAGCTGTAGATGTTCTGGTGACTATAGTGTCCCTTTAATAACGTTTTAAAAAAGTAAAAGAAATCCCACCACCTTTATCCAGTTCTAATAAAAATTAACCCCTTCAATGACAGTTGATAACTGCCTTCAGTGATCAAAATACAGATCACAGTATTATACTGTGATCTGATTTTTAAAAAAAAAATTTTAACCACTGAGGGCTAATTTTTATTTATTTTTTAACCCTCAGGGGTTCAATTTATTAAAATAATGAATTTTAATATTTTAAAATTATATATTTTGCTAGCTGGGGTGGGTGGGAGTTATGGGAAATTGGGGAATTTACTGTTAGTGCTGCTTACTGCTAGTTAGGGGTTGACGGTAAAGAAAAAGTTAATAAAACTTTTAAAAGTGTAAAAAAAGTTTTGGGGGAGCAGAGCCTGAATCTTGAGCTAACCAGATGTGCTTTATACGAGCTCCTGCCATCGGTGCTGATTCCTCAGAGATATCTTGGACTACTGAGCTGGGAACTTCAAGCTGAGGTGCTACCTACCTGGGGGGCACTCCACTGAATCTTTTGAGACCACCGGCCTACTAATGCCTGAGTTGGGGAAGTGCAGACGACTTCCTCACTCCACTCAACCCTGTACAGCACTGCAAATCTCCTTTTCGGGGCCCCCCCCCCTCCCTCCCCCGGAACAGCAGCAGCCATAATCCCCACGCATATCCAAGATGGAGGATACGCAAATCTCCCACAATACGACGCCACAGTATGCAGGGAAGATTCCACACAACTTCATGGAGCTGTCTCTTCAACGGTTTGATGAGCTGTTTGCTCGAGTCTGGGTAACTCTGGACAGCTGTGTGGCAGCCACACAGCAGAAGTCTAAGGAGTGATTTCGGAGGGGCGTCAGCCCGAGAGTGGATAGATCTCCTTCAGGCTTGGACTCTACCCAATCAACCCAGCTTAAGGGCAGCCTGCCTAGGCCGAGGACTCCCATGTTATTAACCATGAAGCATCAACCACACCGATGAAGGGTTACACGGCGCAGGAGGCGACTAAACACCAGGGCCTCCTGATCGCCCATGCTGTGGGACTTGGTCTCCTTGAGCCCCCGGAGGGATGGCCCATTTTTCTCCCATCGTGCCGCAACCTTTGCTGATCTCCCTGCTTCTTACATGGGCATCGGCTAAGATCGGACTAGCTGTTTGGTGCACGCTGCTGTAAGCCACTACTATGGTACAGAGCCTCTACAAGATCCAATGGTCTTTCCCTTGTATAACTACAGCATGTTATGCATTATTTAGCTAGTTCCTCTATACATGCTTAGCTAGGCATTACCTCAATAGTCACTCATGCAATGTTAGTTTAGCATGGTTATTCTATAATTCTCATATCTAGTCTATTACTCTTCTTATTTTAAAAAGAGGCAAACTATACAGGGGTTAATATTCATATGTGTGTCTATATTGCTATCTTCATGCACTTATGAATTCTTCACACCGATATACATGATTTATTATTGTATTGAAACATAAATGTGCCTCAATAAAAGAAAGATTGACACACACAAAAAAAGTTTAAAAACAAGTTTTAAAAAGTTTAAAAAAATACATTAAAAATGCTCATTACCACTACACCTGGAACAAACTAGCGAAAACAATTATCGCAGGTTAAGGTTCACAATATGCCTTTTAAATTACCCTGGGGTGTATTATTTAATAAATAGTATGTGTGTGGGGGGTAGTTTGAATAATCAACCAGCTAAACTACTCCAAAATGGAATTGGACACAGCGTAAAACTTCAAAGTTAGAAAAAAACTGATCCCAGACTAAGGTTCAAAATATGCCTTTTAAAATACCCTGGGATTACATCTTTAAAAAATGGTATGCCTTTATGGGGTAGTTGGAATATGTAGCCTGCTAAAATACTCCAAAATGGGACATGGACACAGCTTAAAAATTAAAAGTTTGAAAAAACTGGAATGGCTGTGTCTCAAATGTGCCCCTTCAATGTCCACATATACCTGGCAAAGGTACATAAGGGGGTATTGCTGTACTCAGATAACATAGCTGAGCAACATATGAAGTATTATACAGCCATAGCACACATAAGGTTTGCAAAATATACTGTGCAAGCTCACTTTGTGTGTCAAAAAGGCAGAAAAATGCTTATTACCACTACACTTGGTACAATAGCGGAAAAATGATCCCAGACTAAGGTTCAAAATATGCCTTTTGAAATACCCTGCGATGTCTTCTTTAAGAAATGGTATTTAAGTGGTGTAGTTGGAATATGTAGCCTGCTAAAATGCCCCAAAATGGGACAGGACGCATCAAAACCCTCCATGAAAAGTCACACTTATAAAACCTGAACTTGTCACGTCTCTTTTACAGCACTGTAACTTCACAAAATAGTGTCTAGGCCATACATTGGGCATATTGTTTTACTCAGAAGATGTAACTGAACATAATTTGGGGGATTGTATGACAGTGGCATATATCAAGTGTAAGAAATACTCAGCAAAAATGCAACATGTATATAAAAATGCAATTGTTTTTCCCCCTCACCACAAACATTGACATAAATTGGTGGGAAAATGGTGACAAGTTAAGGCACAATATATGCCATATAAGATAACCTTGGAGTGTCTGCTTTATCAAATGAAAGCCCTTTGTGGGGTTATTTGAACAGTCACACTGCTATAATACCCCAAAATGAGACATAGGCCCATCAAATCCATCTATGGATATTCTAACTACAGAAACTGAAATAGTCTTGTCTTTTATATGGCATTGTAGCTTCACAGAATAGTGCCAAAGGCATACAATGGGGGAATCGTTATACTCAGCAGATGTAGCAGATCACAATATGGGGTTCTGTGCAGGAATAGCACACACCAGCTTTACGAAATACACATTACAAAAACCTTGTTATATGTGTATATGCCAAAATAAAGAAAAAACACAATCCAATATTTAGCAGAGATTGGCGATGAAATGGCTACATAAAAAGTGTCAAGATAACCTTAGGTAAATAGCATGTGATGTCTACTTTATATAAATATGTACTTTTGTGTGGCAATTTTGTTTTTTGTGATGGCTACTAAACCTACAAGACAAATAAACCAACTTCTATAATTGTTTTACATTGAAATTTTATTTTAGTCCTTGTATTTTGTGACCTGTATCTTTCAAAATAAGCTAAAATCCTATACATATAATGTACTTTATGACTCAAGACACATAAATTAATTTATTTTGAATTACTTTTCCTAAGCTGGAAATATTATGCACACGCTATTATTGCCAAAACTGTAAAAAAAAAAAAAGTTTATAATTAGTGAGAAATTATCTATGTATATGTGACATCAGATTAAAGCCCCTTTTGTCCTCTAAAAAACAGTATGTAATATGTATTGGTGCAATAAATGACAGAGATGCAAATTGCGTTTGAACATAGACAGCACAAAATGCAAAAATGGCTTGTGTCCTTAAGGGTAAGACAAGCTTTTGAAGCTGTGTCCTAAGGGGTTAAAGGCTGCTTGTGGGATTGCATGTGTGCTATATGGTCAAGTGTGTGTGTTCAGGGGGTGTAGTATCTGTGTAATGGATGAAGTATGTTTGAGTGTAGGGGATGTTATGTACCTTTTAATGGTAATGCAGTCTGTATGCGTAGAGAATGTAATGTATGCAAAGAATATGTTGTGTGGAGGTGTGTTGGGAATGTTGTAATACATAGGTAATGCAGTGTGTGTAGGGAATGTATTGTGTTTTTGCTGGTGATGCAGTGAGTACCTAGGGGATGCAATGTGTATTCCCCACTTTCCTAATACCCCTGTCAGTAATTGTATTGTGGTTTTGTGACTGTTGTGTTGCAAGTTAGGTTTTTAATAGACTGTTGCTTTTCTGTCTGATGTTCCTTTAAATGTGTGTGTGTGTGTGTGTGTGTGTGTGTGTAAATAGCAACTAGCTTTGGATGCATTGTGTGTGTGTGTGTGTGTGTATGCTGGGGATGCAGATTGTGTGCTTTTGGATGCAGTGTTTCTTGTAGCACAGTTAGTAGGTGCACTGTAGTAGTTTACATGATAAACACAATTATTCAATGCGTTTTACACACACAGCATAGCCAAAACTAGAGCATAGACATGTGCAATTCGTTTTGTTCCGAATGCAAATTCGGACGAATTTTGTAAATTCAGACATTCTGATGCTTCCGAATTTCCGAAGTGCTTTGAATTTCTAAAACTTGGCAAAACAGGAGAGGGTTGGGTTAGGGGTTGGGTTAGTGGTTGGGGTAGGGGTAGGGTAACCTTATTCCTACCTCTACCCTAACACTAACCCTACTCCTAACCCTCCTCTAACTCTAATCCTACTCCTAAACCAATCCTAACCCTAGACTAACCCCAAGTCCCAAATTTCAGAATGTCGAACCCAACCAAATATTTTTCCCATCCCTACTAGAGCATGCATCTCAAATTCTACTGCCTCCCAGATGTTGTTCACTCTGTCCATGACCTTCTCCCATCCACTGCTCGCACCTGTACGGCCAACTCACGCTTGCAGGACTTCTCGAGGGCGGCTCCCTTCCTATGGAATAGCCTGTCTACCACCATCACACTTTCCCCTAGTCTTCAATCGTTTAAGAAGTGCCCTAAAACCTATCTCTTTAGGAAAACTTATGGCCTTCCAGAGTAACCTTTATCTCACCTACCTGTTTCTTGCTCTCTCCTAAAGGGCAACACTCTACTCTCTCCTCCAGCTCTGCTTCACTCCAACCTTATTTGATTGCTATCTCCTGTCCATATTTTATACCCACAACCCC